AAACAACAACAAATTTACCAAAATCTCCTTCTGTTTAACAGCTGGTGGCATAATTTAGTCTCACTACATTTGGAAAAGAAAGGTGAGACCATACCCTTAGGACAGTTGCAGACCCATGAAGAACAGTGACAGCCCACCTTGCCTGTGACAATGTCAAACACAGACGGCAGAGAGGACAAAGGAATGAAACACCAGGTAAGGGGCTAATCCAAGCCCTCTCTTCTTCCAGCCACACCTGTCTCCTCTCCTGAAGACACTGTCCCAGCAAGACCATGAAGAGATGACCTTCCCCTCACTCACCACCACATGCTGAGAAGCTGCAAGAGCTGTAAGGTGAGAGCGTGGTATCAGCAGGCAGCGCTCCTCCCTTCGAGATGAGCTCCCAAGACCCACGCTGAGCTCTGGGGCAAAGCTGCCACAGACAACAGCGAGTTTCAGACTCAGATAACACAGTTTTACAACTCTGACGGCCTCCTCGTCAGTGTTTCTAGGAAGAGGTATAGAAAAAAACATGCAATATAACTGCAAGAAAAGCTAAGTATGTATAAACAATACAAAGCGCCTGCTGGCACAGGTGAGAAGGACCAACTGCCCACTAACACTAATTACAAAAGGCTTCACTTTTATTCAGCCACAGGAAGGAATGGGCACTTTGGTAAGGGACTGCAACACAACTCAGAAGTCCCACTTGGCAGAACCAGCCCTCTAAACCTTTCTTTTCTTTTTTTTTTTTTAAAAGAAAAGGTCAGATTTTTAAATTGGCTCAAGTTGGATTTTTTTTTTTTTTAAGCTAAGCTTTTAGACTACTCAGGCATGCTTTCAAGGTTCTTGCTACACAATTAAGGGCTAGAAATTCACATTTTCTCAAAGCAAAACCAGAGGTTTTTGTTTTGTGGTTTCTGGGTAGACCAAAGCATCTTAAAATACCTTATAGTAACAGAACGGAAAGTGTTAAGGCAGCAGTTGCAGTTACTCATGGTCTTCTATTTCATGGTGTTCCAGCACTTACCAGCCCAATGATGTCGTAACTGCCCTAAGAGGATGCCAAGTTCAAGACCACATAATTATTTACTTAGCAACTCTTTCTAATTACATAGCACAGTTGTGAACTGATAGCACACTTTGTTTAAATGTTAATAACTTATGCAGAAAAGCTTTTGTTGACTGCTAACAAACCCACACGAACTTCAGAAAGCACTGACATTGTGTGTGCATTAAGGCACCACCCAGAGCTGGTCTTATTTCTTCGTTTTGCCCGAAAAATTCACATTTTCCCTCGAAGGCGGAGGAGCCCGCTGCGCCCAGCCAGCCTGCACCCGGCCTGGGGATGACCTCTAGTGGCCCAGCACTGCTTGCCTCCCTTCCCAGTCTGCACCAGTTCACATCTTTCTACTCTATTTTTTTTTAACATTACATCCTGGATTTCAATCTTCTTTCTATAAGGTGGTACTGAGCACTTGACTTTGCAATCCTAAACCCTGCAGGTACAGGTCTGTGGTGACTAATGAAAGGAATGGTAAAAAGCAGCAGAGTCTTGAAAGGCATTCTCAGCCCTGTAATGGCGCTGTGGCTACTGCCTGCAAGCATTTGGGAACAGTAAAGAATAATTATTTGAGAAGTAAGGTCATTCTGCACTTTGCAGCCCAGTATTGCAGACAATAGTCACCAAACAATTGCCTTGAATTCAGAATGCAGAAATGCAGGTATTTAAGGGCTGGGAAATGGAAGGGAGATGTGGGACCTAAGTACACTCTGCAAGGGGTAGATAACGCTTCAGAACTGGCAAAACAGATAAATTTGCATGGTCACTTAGTTCTAAGGTACTAGGTACTGCCACAGAAATGACAAAAAAAAACCCCAAGAGTAATATTATCAAAGGATTTTGCAGGGAAACATTTGTCTCCATTTCTCCTCCAGACCTTACAGGTCAGAAAAGTTTGGATACTGCAAATAGTAAAGACAAACTTAACACAATTCATCTCTCCCTCAACAAACCATATTATTTGATGGGATGTTTTTATACACGTATGTATAAAAACACAGATTGTGCTGATGCACACAAAGTATGGCAAACTGGTTGTTTCTGAAGAAGTAAATTTCAGAAAGAATGTAAAGTTCCACCAATATTTTGGGCCTGGATAAGGCATCTAAAGTGATAATGGTTTAGTAAAAAGATTGGAGGGGAGAAGAAAGAAAACAGCGCTCAAAATTTCCCTACTATGCAGCTGACAACTGTTCACTCAAAGTCTATAGGTCTTAACACTTGAAGGGTTATACTTGGTGTCATAGAGCAGGCTGAACAAGGCTAAAAAAAATACACCAAAAAACCACCAGAGTGCATCAATTAAGACCACTGAAGTGAGCAAATGCTGTTTCGGCCTTCATAAAAACCAGACTGAAGAGAGTCCATCATCTCATTTTTCCTTTAGTTAACTGAAGAAGCGATCCCTCCGAAACAAGCAGGGTATTTCTGCTGCAGGCAAGTCTAAGGCCTGCTGGACATGCAACATGTCCAAGTTACGCTTGCTTTACATTTTCCACTAACCAACACACCAGAGATCAGAATAACCTCTTGAAACAATCTTGCTTTGATCGTCCAAGTTTCTTTTCTCACCAGGCAGCCTTGCAAGCAAGTGTTATGTTAACCTACAAGCATCTGACTACATTAACAACATCAAAGACAGGGCAGAAGGATGCCTGTTCAGCTGATCAGAAATAAAGCCTCTTTAGGCAGAAAGAAATAACAATGCCTCCAACCCAGGAAAAGACAACTCTGTCTCCTGAATTTGCCTAGGGTAGTAATAGTACCAAGAAAAGGACGGGAGATGGTTACTCCTTTATGAAATAAAATCAGAGGCACAAGCATCCAAAACCACAAGTGTGTTAACAACCTGAGATCAAAGTGATTTCAAAGAAGCTGAATTACACCAAGTTTCTCACAGTAAGAGCTCTAATCACCAAGCAATCTAGAGACTTTTCCAACAAACCAAAATGGGAGGACTTTGAAAACAAGACAGAATTTCCCAAATGTTAGGTCACTTAAGTATAGGCAAGTAGGCTCTAGACACATTGACCGTGTTTACTTCATTATTATTCCAGGCTTAAACTACAATGCTTAAGCGAAACTGTTTGGCCAGCTTAAATAATGAACATTAGCTAAGACGCAAAGAAGTGTTTTTATTGCAAGCAGAGTAAGCAGCAAGTGGGTTGCATCTCACGTGAGTGTGACGGAAGGGCAGATTTAAACCACCCACCCTTCTGTTTCTAGTGCTCATTGCTGTTAGGTGTACATCATTTCTGCCATGTGAGACATTTTCTTTGGAATATACAAGTAGTATTCCATGTATCCCGAAAGATCTTCAATAGTCACATCATCCACAAAGGCCCTGGCTTGCTCAGAGCAAGAGCGTGGAGAACTTGATGGAGTTCTTGATGGCAAAGACTGGGAGTGATCCTCAGAAACTGTTCTTCTGTCAGGTGCCAATGGGAGGGTGTTCTGCAAGCCAGAGAATTTGTACACTTCCATATTTTGCCATCGTTTACACTGACAGGCTTTATCTGCACATGCACATGGCTTACTCGTGTTCAGCTTGGACATAGATTGAAAGTCAGAAAGCTCCGTAGTCTTTAGGCTTGCTTCGGATACTAGAGAAACGGCAGCTGGAGAGTTCTCCTGTCTGTTCTCTGATGCTGACTGTGTAACAGAAGCTTCCAAAGACTCCACATTAGCTCCCTTCTGGCCAACGTCAGGAGCAATGCTGCATCGTTCGTGTGCACAAGCTTCCTTTGGCACTGGCATCCCAAGCCCACTGCTGTTGTCCTGGGCATCAATCTGGCTCTTGTGCACTAGCTGGTTGCACGTGGAATGTGGTTTTGTGCTGCAATGGATAAACTTTGGAGGATGAAGAATTGGAGACTTGGAACGCCTGCGACGCTGGGTTCTCACAACTGCTCTTGAAGGCTTCTTCATTGACCTACCAGGGAAAGATACAGAAGGGAGTGAAGATTCATTAAAAGGCTTATTGCTGGATTACAAATAACATCAGGTAAAATCTCTACTGCATTTATATCGCATGGAAGAGCTTTAAGCTCAAAGTATTTGCTCCGGGTATTGTGCTATCTTGGAATTTGACTTTGTTCTAGTCAAGCAGTTGTATAAAATATAAAAGGAACACCTGAGAAATGAAACCGAAAGTGCATGCTTTTAAGGTTAGAGAATGAGTAAAGCATGTGAGACATAACAAAATAATCTAAGAGAAGGGCAAAGCACAAGAAGACAGCACAGAACTAATGAATCAAGGTTAAAGGGTGGTTTTGTTTCAGTAGATGAGCGTGAAATTCTGCGTATACACTCCAGAAACCAATTCTTTATTTTAATCTCGTTCCCAAGGCACAGTGACAGCTTCTGCCATGTCAAACAACGATTGAAAGAGATGCATTCATGATTGTCTGATTCTTGTAAATAAGAATAGGAGTCACATATAAACAGAAAAAGCTGGTGTACAGTATTTTAAATAGTCCTTTAATAGAGAAAACTTGGATGCCTTGTTCAGGGGTGTAGTTACGAGAAACCTTTACCTATTTAAAACTCCATTTCAATGCAGTATCATTTGAAGTAGTCTGATAAACCCAAGGTTCTCTTACCCATGCCAGGTTTCCTTAGGAGTACACGCATTCTTAGGTTTGGTTTCATCCGCCACTGTTCTAATTAGTGCTCTTGGACTTGGCCCTTCACCCACAGAGAGAGAAGCAGTAGATCTGTGAAAGACAGAATGAAAAGTTAACAGCATAGACTGGTTAGCATTATGAACATGAAAAAAACTTAAGAATCTTCTTTCCCAGAAAAGATTGTTCGAAATCATTTACAATATGTCTTAAAAGACCTGCTCACAAAGAAGACCCAAATCAGAAAGATAGTGTTTACACATTCCTATCTTAAAAGTTTGTATAACAGACTGTTTCACCAAACACGATGCCATTCAGCAACTAGACTGCAAATCCAAACTCCATATGGCAATGACGAAGCACACACAATGGCTAAATTTCAGTTTCCCAGGAGAGGGGAGGGGAAAAGCACCATCACTGAAGAAACACGTCTTTTTTTCCAGAGACAAATAAGCCATTCTCTCCTAAAAATAAATGTTCTTTGGACATAAATAGACTTTGTTTAACTGAAGAACACTTAAGCCTCTGTCTAGGGCAACGTAAGCTAAAACTTTTCAGCCTATTGCAAGTTCAATCACTTAAGCAAGAGAGTTGTGTCAGATCTTCAACTTCTATTCAAGCCAGGGACCTTAGAAGATTTACTAATTTTTCTGGTGCTAGAAATTCATCCCAAACTCTCATTTTCAAGGAGCTGTAATAATCCCAAGAACAACTTTACCAAGTTGTGACTTCACGTATTACACTGGAATTCACAAGGAAATTATCTTCCAAATACTGTATTAGTTTAGTTTGTAAGCTGGGCAGATCCCCTGAAAAGTGAAAATAAGTCCCCACACGCTGATTTAGGACAGGGTTAATTGATATTTAATAGAGTCCAAACTATTAGCCAAACATCTGCTATTTTCTATTTAAACGACAACGAACACAGAGCAGAAAAATGAAGGGCAACAGTAAAAACACCAAAGTAATTAAGTGTGCCTGACTGGGGCTGGGACTACAGATACTTGAGAAGCATTTGCGTGGCGATTCATTTCTAATGAGTTTAATTACTTAAACGAAAGATAACTTTAGAAGCCCATCTACTCACTAGCTAAGTTGTATGGTAATTCTAATTCTAGTTACCACCTTGATATTTACACACAGCCTTACCTACGCTTTCATTTCCATTACGGGCATAATTGCATCACTGACAATAGCTTACTGAAACACGGCACTACGCAAGTAATAGGTAATGGCGCACATTTGTCAGAGAAAGCCTTTTTTCTTTCAGATAAAAACGATCATCACCAACAGAAGACACATGCCGCTTGTGTTCTGCTACCTGGACAGGGAGGGTAAGTGCCACATGTCGGATCTCCCACAAAACAAGACAACACAAAAAGCATTCTTTCCCATTTAGTGATTTTGGTTATAAATAGGAAATTTGTAAGTGACAGCAATGAAAATAGTTTGTGTGGGAATCATGCACTGAATTTAACGCTCTCCTTTACTGACATGGAAAGAACGTTTCTCTCCTGGGAAAAGTTTATTCTATTATTTTATGAGTTTATTCTCATGACAGGCCTTCAGAGCTCTGACAATATGCTAACTTCCATAGTAGAGTTCTAGTGCTATGGACATAACCTCTGGCAGCCAGATTCATGCCAAAATTCATTTCCAGTACGTTGTCTACTGCTGACTATAGTTAGGTTTGTTTCAAGCCTGCTGGAGCTAACAACGATCAAACAAATTACAGCTCCTTGAGAAACGCAGTCTACAGCTAGTGAATATATTTCAGTTTCTTTAACTAGAACAAAGGCTGTCAGTGCCTAACCTTTTGCAATTACCTCATTCCTTCAAATTTAACAGCAAGGGTGTTCCCTTCGAGTCCATTTATAATGTGTTAACTCTTTACCTCCCTATGGTGTTACTTACCCAGCTGTGTCAACTCTTAGCTTTTTGAATGCTGTCTGCAGGCTTTCCTCTTCTCCATCCTTAGCTTCTGTTTTCATTATTGGGATGGCCAGAAGGTGACAGAGTTACCATGTACTGCTACAAGCAGAAAAAAAAGATGTATGAAAATAAGGACCAATGCCTTGTTAAAAACATGAGTTGCCCAGCAGCATCATAATACATGAAAATAAACTTAAAATAGCACACTGAGCATACAAAGCTGAGGTCATTCTAGTGGAACATTTTTGAAAGTTGATTCAGAGCAAGCTTTATGATACCCAAGAATGGAACAAACAGTCTCGTGTACAACTGCACAGGTGAATTAGCAATTTAAAGTAAAATTTGGTGTCAGTAGCATCTTGCACATCCATTACAGTCGAGACAGACTCTTATATTTCTTTCACAGTGTTACCAGAATAATTCCAGAAGAGATAAAAGGCGAGAAGGAACAACACCATTAGAAACAGTCAACTTTCTACAACTACTATTTCCAACTTTGAGACTTGATGTTACATATATACTTAAAAAAAACCAAAAATCAACAGATTTCTCTTAAAACAAGAAAAAGTTTTAAGCAAAACAAAATTTTTTGATCTTATGTCTAGATCCCAGCAAGAGTTACACAATCCTATCAGAACGTGGTATCTTGATTGCAAATAGCCATTAAAATTTTCTGATATCAGCTCCTGGACAAGTATAGATGCAAATAAGAATACAAACAGCCAACAGTAAGCCCTGTTTTAAATAAAAAAGGAATTGATAAAAACTGGTTGATGTTTTTGGTGGTGTTTTTTTGTTTGTTTGGTTTTCTGGTTTTTTGTTTGTGTGGGGTTTTTCTTTTCTTGGTGTGT